AAAAGGAGTAAAAACGTCAAATAACTTTAAAACAAAATCACCATCTGAGAGAATAAAAACCAAAATCAATAATGGATTGAAGCATAAAAATAACAAGTTTAGTGGAAATTTGTTTACTCTTTTGTAAAGTCATAAACATTGTAATTATTTGACATAATACAAGTTGTTTTAAATGAAGTTCCTGAAGACGTTCATGACCTCGAACGTCAATTCCCTAGGAATAATATAATATATAATTAATTGAATGAAAATGAAATAACTAGATACAAAATTTTAATGCAATTTACCCCATCGGCAGTAACCAAATCAGACCCCTCATTTTTAGTCCCCTCCATAACCTCATTTGCGAAATATCGAATATTTTCTTCCTTATAAATATCACCTACATAAATAATTTATAATTTATAATAGCACTTTTATAATGGAATGAATATTTACGATCTTAAATCATACCTGTACCATCCGCACCATAAGAAGGTTTAAAACAGTCGCGAACCATAGTATCAGATTTGAATCTATTTAAATCATAATTCTTATCACCGGTTAAAGTAATACCCCAACCGTAAGCCTTATCACCATAAGAATGTTTTCTCCACAATATATATTCTAATATTAAATATATTAAAATAAATATATATATATAATTTAAAACAAAAATATCTAGGCACCACATTATCTGAAACCTGAAAATCCGCCCGGCCCGCCACATATATCAGTGAACCAGAGTACCTAAATGATGAAAATTTTAATTGTTTATTATAATAAGAAGATAAGTATTATATAAATAAAAAATAAAAATAAAAAAAAAATAAAAAAAACTTTTATAATTACATACTAGATCTTTTACAGGGTCATATCTTTTTATACCGGTAAAATTAACTAATGCATCCAAACAAGCCAATTTACAAGCGGCACGATTCATGAAAATAGATTTACCAACTTTTTCATAAGGATTAGATTTTCCACGAGCAGCGGTAAATTGTTCATGAGGGATACATTTTAAAGCTTTCTAAAATAATAATAAAAAATGTAATTTAATAAGAATTTAAAAGTTTGGATTACAGAAAATATTTGATTTGAAATTACCTTTTTATCATGAAGTAATCGCACAATTTCAGCTTCACAAAATTGATTATAATCTGGTTCAACAATCTTTTTTAACAGATAAAGACAATTTTAATAAATTAATAAATGTGATTATTAAAATGCGAATGATCAAAAAATTATATATATATTGAGGATATTACAGGTCCTACTACGAGTTTTAATCCATTAATAAGTTTTTTTTCTTCATAAGGAATTTTGCAAGGCAAAAAACTAGCTTTTTGTTTTTCAATCTCGATCGGAGTTACTAGCTGCTGATTTGAATGTTCATTTGGAGAAGTATTCGTATAAATAGGTTGAGTAGAAGTTATCTGGGGTGTTGAATTATAATTATTATAACCCTGATAATTTTGATGGTGTTGATCTGATCTTTGATACTGTTGAGACTGTAAAGGAGGAGGGCATGTTTCAAGTGTAGGACGAGGAACGGAAGAAACTAATGGAGTATCGCGATACTCGGGATCTTCGTCTGTTGATTTTTTACAAATGAGGAAAGTTATGAGGAAAAGTTGTAAGGAAAATATACGATTAAAAATAGTATAGTATGTATATAACTTACCAGTATATGGGTCTTGGATCATAGTTTTTTTTGAATAATAAAGTGCGTATCGGTATGAGTACAGATGCAAATCAAAGTTTTTGATTGTGAAACGCAAAATAAAAAAGGAAATTTTAAAGATCAAGATTTTCGCGCGGGAAAAAAAAAAAAAAACTGACAATTAAACATCGATGAAGCAGATGTTAATAAGATAATTATCAGTTCACTATCCGTCTATTATGCAATGGCTTCTACACATCGAATGATTCTTACTTTATTCACTTCAAGGTCATGTTCGCTTTGTGTCGATGCAAAATACGCAATCGATCAAGTGAGAAGCAAAGTAATTAATTATTTTTTAGATTTGTATAAAGAAATTATTTTCTTTCTTCCACTGAATATTTGATTAATTATTATAGATCGCATTTGATTTAATTCAAAAAGACATCAAACTTTCGGAAAATTTAGCTTGGTTTCATAAGTACAAATATGATATTCCAGTCCTTCATTTAAATGATAAATTCTTATTTAAACATAAAGTAAAGCAAGATAAATTAGAATTAGTACTCAAAAAATTTCAAAAAACTGGCAAAATTCCTTGTGAGCTTATTGATGAAAAAATTAATTAGAAAACTTTATATATGAACATGGAATTTTGTTGGAAAAACAATACATAAACGCGAACATCAGGTTTTAATATTCGAATAAAATTAAGCTTTGAATGAAGGTATCAAAAAATATCCGACTAATTCCAATATACAAACTAAAGACTGGACTTGTCAGTTCGTGACTCGAATAACTGAATCAACACTTGCGAGTTATTCGCAGTGGAATCTTAAATAAATTAGATTTCTTCTTTTAGGCCATACAAATTTAATTTGTTGTTTCTCATAACCCGGCCGGGTGACTTTTTTAAAATTTGAAATTAAAGATTTTTTTTAGATAACGATAAGTAAAAAAATTTTTCATATGAAATTTTTTAAATTTTCAACCAAATGTAAAGCATGGATGCGATTCTCTTATTTATCGCGCTTTATTTTAATTGGCTAATTTTGTATCATGCAATACCTGATATTCTTATTTGTCGCTTACTAATCAATTTTTTTTTTTTTTTTGTGATTTAAGGCGATGAGTATACAACCAGTTACACATACAATTTAGTCATTATCTATTTAACTAGTTCGTGCACAGGTATTATTTACACTAATTGCTATTTGCTATGCTTGTAACTTGCTTGTGAGTTATCTATTTAAATACTCTGATTATATAACTATCTGCTATGAATTAATTCATAAGTTAACTTGTAGATTAATTTACTAATTGATTCATAGGTTAACCTATAGGTTGACTTATAAATTAACTTATAAGTTAGTTTATAAGTTAATCTATAAGTTGACTCATGAGTTGATTTATAAGTTAATCTGTAAGTTAACTTATTAGTTGATTTATAGGTTAATTTATAGATTGATCTATAAGTTAACTTTAGTTGATTTATAAATTGATCTATAAGCTAATCTATTAGTTAATCTATAAGTTAATCTGTAAGTTCATTAACTAGTTGACTTATAAAATATATAGAACTATACTAGAAGAGAGAAATATACTTAAAAATATCATATTTAGCTTAATTTAAATCTAACCTAAATCTAATTTAAATCTAATATTTTAATTAAAATATTAGGTTTAAGTTAGATTTAGATTAAGTTTAAATTAAGTTTAAGTTAAACTAAATATTTTTTTTTTTTTTAATTCAGCAGTCATACCAAGACTTTATTTAGTTTTGCTTTCTGTTTGAAAACAACATTATTTAGCTATATACTATCTAATGTTTAATTTTTTAAGCCCTGACTTACCTAGTTATCCCGAAGATACCTATATGTGATCTGCTATAGTAACCTTTGTCCTATACTAAGGTAGCTAAAAAAAATAGACTACAAACTAATATAGGAAGGACATTACAGCTTATCATGACTACTTTTACATCTAATTAGTTAAAATTCCCTCCTTTACTTCTCTTGCTATGCTATCTAATGCTATTTTAAAACTAATGTTATAACTTTCTGTATTCTCATCTAATCTGCAGTTTGTTTTTTTCCTTGATAACTTTTCTTTTAAACCATTTTTTCCTTTTTTCTTTTGCGCGTATTTTTCTTTCTTAGAGATTTTTTCCTTTTTCTCCTAAGCTTCCATATCTTTGCATCGTTTTTTCTAAACTTCTTTATATACTAGTTCTATTCAGATGTTCTAGAACAGGCTCCAGAATCTAGTTGTCATGCTTTCAGACCCTATAATATTTTTAATTCTTTTGGCCTCTTCTTCACATAGTATATCTCTTAACTACTCTTTTCTTCTTTGTTGCTTCATTTTTTGTTCACATTGGATTGCTTGTACTATACTCCTTAAATCCCAATTTTCTTCTTTTCTTTTATCTTTGTCAAGCTGTTTCCATGCTTCATCTTCGATTTTTTCAAGTACTTAATAGGCTTTTTCACAAGTAACTAAGTGTTTAATCGATTCTTTTTCCTTTAAGCATCTTTTGCATGGACTATTTTTGTACAATTTCGGCTTCCTGAAGTTTAGCATTTCTACTGTTGGTAAAAGGTTTTCGATGTATTTGATTTTGAACAAGCGCAAGTAGTTTACTTCAGTATTTTGGTGTTGTTTACGGTAGCTTTCAAGTATACTCTTGAAAGCTTTCCAATCCTATTTCTGGATTCTTGTTTGATATTCTGTATCATTTTTCTTTCTTAGCCAGGTCCATTCTGCCTTGTATGTTGTTTGAACTGTCTTTTTAACAAAAGCTCTCAGTGGAGTTTCCAGACTAAGCTCTTTCCATTCAGGGATAAACTTTACGTTACTGTTACTGATATTGTTCAGCTCCATACAGTATGCTTCATATATTCCTTCCTTTGCAAGTGAGTCTGCAAAGTCATTATATACATCCTCTGAGTGACTTTTGACCTTTATTAGTGTTAGCTAAACTGATTTACTTTTGCAAACCTTCTTAATTGCATACAGAATGTTATTGTTTTTGTACTTTAACCACTCACGTATCTTCTCATTCTTAAGATACTTCTCGATTGCAAAGATTGCACAAGTGCTGTCTGTTCTTATTTCTACTTTGCAACTATCAGGAACTAACAAAACTGCTACTAAACAAGCTACGAGCTCTGCACGCGTAGATGAGAACTAGTTTTTTATCCTTCCCTTATAACTAAAAACTATACTATTTGCACTATCTATTTGAACTATGCTAAATCCCATCCTTGTTTTATTTCTGGTATCTTCACCAAGTAAGCTATCAGTATAAAAAACTATTTCTTTTTCTTCTCTATTTGCTTCTAATCTCTCCTTTAGTTTTGCTCTAATTCTTGTATTCTGAATAATCTGATTAATTAGCTCTGCTTCCTAGCTGCTTTCTACTTCGACTCACTCTAGATTCTTGACTTTTTTAACTTCCTCTGCTTTGCTTTTCTGGATCTCTTTTTCTATTTTTCCTAAGTACTTCCTATTGAATACTACTTCTGGTATATTGTTTTTCTTTCGTACGAAGCTTGAGATATTGTGAATTTCTTTTAATGCTACTCTTTATTTTTGGCTATTTTTCCTCAATTTACTTCCTTCTCTATATGTTTCTTGTTGACTGCATCCTTCCTGCGAGTTTTCTTAGTCTTCTTCCCAAATCTCAACTTCTACAAGCTTCTTTTCCTTTCTAGTTATACGACCAATTTTACTTTCTTTACTTTCTTTACCTTTTATGAGCACTCATTCTTTCTTTCTTTTGTCAGCTATGATTTTCTCCTCAGTTTTTTATACTTGAAATTCCCTTTTCTTTTGGTATTCTTCCTTTACTTCTCTTGATTTTTTGTCTTCTAGGATTTCATTCTCTAAGGCATAGAACTACTTTGCTTTTCTTCCAACATGTCTCTTTCCTTCTCTTACTTTAAGCTATCTCTACATAATCATTCTTACTTGTTTATTATCTAGTAGTTGATTTACATGCCATAAATTAAGCTTGCTTATACCTTCTTGTGCTTCTTTTATGTTGCATTTATTAAGGATATCGCTAATAAGACAGTTTTTTCCTTCTTGAAGGTTTATAATATTTTAGCTTACCGTAAAGTCGTTTTTTGTAATACTAAGGCTATATTTTTTTGCATGCTATATTATTGTAGCTTCAAAGTTTCTGTGCTTGATTTTTTTCCAACTCATATTTTCTGTCATGAGTATATATTCTGGCATATTCATATCTAGTTGTGACTGCTTTAACCTCATTAACGTAGTTATGCCTAAAATACTATTTGTGTTTATTCTTATAAAGAGCTCTAATATATGGTGTTTTATATGTTTTTGCCATAGGCTTACTATGCCAAATATATCTGAATGCCAAAGAGTTGCATTCATACATGTAGATGGGAGCTCCAATTTTCATTTGATTAGTCTGAGTATAAGCTGGTGTATAGCATTACATAATTTTTTCCTTAAACAGATATTTGCAAGTAGATATTCGAGCTTTGGTAGCAATACTATATTGTTTATATATATTATTTGGCTTGCTGAGAGTTTTTTGTATTTTAGTATACAAATTAGTTTTCCTACTTCTTTTTTGCAACATAGGATACTTGTTTTCTCTTGTTTTTTTAAACTTATCCAAACACCTAGAAACCTTGTATTTTCTTCTAGTTCTTTGATTTTTACTTAGCTTGGAGGTGTTCCGATTTGTATGAACTCCTCCTTTTTTCCTTGCTTATAAGGTCTTCAAGCAATTGCTTCAGACTTTGTTCTGTTTATCTCAATATCGTTTAGCATAAAAAAGCTATTTGATACTTGTATAATTTCTTGCAGTACTTGTCTAGACTCTGCTACCCAAGTAGTGTCATCTGCATATACTAGTACTGAAACCATAACTTTTTCAGTTTTGTATATTTAGTTTTCAATATCTACTGGCTACTGGAGCTCCATTTGGTACCCAATTTCTAGTTGCTGTATCCTTACTAGCAATAGGTCGTAGAATATTTTCTATATTAGTGGGGAAATTACTTCATCTTGGTCTATTCCATCTCTAGCTATGAAGAAATCTGTAGGGCCTTCATCTGTTATTACTCTTATTTCATGATCTTGATATAATTGCTTAATGAACATGATTAGATTTTCTATAAATTTGATTCTTCTTATAGAAAGCTCTAGAGCATAGATGCTAACTGAGTCAAAAGCTTTCCGCATATCTTGAAAAGCTATCCAGAGTTCTTTTTCTTTTTGAATTGCATCCTCGATCACATTATTTAAAATATGTATAGGTATCATAGTGCTTTCATTAGGTAGTCCTACAAAGTTGGCCCCTTTTAGAATTTGCTTTTCAATAAAGACTTTGCTTAGCCTTTTTTGGACTATTCTGACTACAAGTTTTTTGAATGTCTCAAGTAACATTATCAGTCTAGTGCTAGCCAAGTTAAATTCCCAATTTGTGCTTTTGGGAATTAGGTATATTTGCTCTAGTTTCCATTTCTTAGGGAATTTTCCTTCATAGACTACATTGTTTGCAAATTTTACCAAATATTCTTTTGTTTTGGAGCTTACTTTTTTAATAAGCCTGTAGCTGATGTCTGAAATACTGGGTGCTGTATCTTCT